GCTGCAGCCCGAATCTATGATCTTTTCTTTCGAACGAGCATCTGGCTCTCCAGGCCATCATAAGGACGTGCAGTCTCATGTAGGAGAAAAGGTTGGCTGCAAAAGGTGACCATTGGGCCAATAGGTGTTGATTCTTGGCAAGCAGCAGGAGGCCCAGGTCCCACGGGATATGTGTGTTTGTGAGTGCGTGGAATGCTGCATCCCACCACTGCCAGAGTTGCTTAACCATCGGGCATACCAGCAAGCAGTGTTCAATTGTTGCTCTAGCCGGCGCCGTCGCTCTTCCACAATATGCACAGATGGGAGATAGCAGGCCTTTTTGTTCCAAGTCCGTTCTTGACACGAGCCAATGCGGGGTTTGGAGGCAACGGTGCAGAAGGATGTGTTCTCTTCTACAAGGGGTGAAGCAGAAGAGTGTAATAAGACTGATTAGATCTCGGACTCACCAAATAGGATTTCAATAAAGTTCTTGCCGCTGATGGAGGCCCTCAAGAACCCAAAGAGGTCTGGATAGTGATTCTTTTTTTTTCTTTTTTTTTCCCGTTATTGTTGTTTGAGATTCCATTACGCCCAAATGTACATGTGTTGTGCAGCTCGCGCGGTTGAATGGTACATAGTACTACATAGTACATACCCCCCCCCCCAAAAAAAAAGAGGTTGAATGCCAATTAATGGTACATACATTGAGAGAAATAGGACTGAACTGTTTTCTCAACTTCATTCTCCATCTTGATAAAAAAATATTCTGTCTGGTTCTGAATCTTCTGTGTGGGAGAGAAACAAGGGCAGAGATGGGACAACAGGAGAGCAAAATGCAGAACAAAGCAGAAAATCATGATGAAGGCAAACAAGACCCCCCTCCCTCAAAGGTTGGTATACATGGGGCCTTGCTGCACTACTCTCCAAATGTGCAAAATGAGAATGAATCTCGCACTAGAACATGGAAAGATACACCGCCATAATGTTTGTCTTTTGTGCATGTGGAGAGTAATGCAGCGAGGGCCATGTAGTGGCCGCAGTGGGTGGGTTACGGATGGCAATGAGTGGATAACTGATCAATCTTTTTCTTTTTTCTTTTTTTTCTTTTTTTTCTTTTTTTTTTCTTTTTCTTTTCTTTTTGTTCTTGGGTGGGTGGGTGGGTGGGGGGGGGGGGGGGGGTTGGAAACCATGCTCCAACAATCTATTCGTGGGGAGCAACACGTGCTGGGAAGCGGGCTGATAGGGTCAGATGAACAAAATTAATGCAGCTCACCAGAATCGAGAGGACCTGTTGGTGGCTTGATGGTGATGATGTGCATTCCTGCATGTGCTGTTGGGACTCCGGTCGATGACATATCAAGTTGAATGCACTTCGTTCCGTCCGTCGACGATTGATGATCCAGCGAATCCGATGGTGGTGGTCCTGCCAGGTTGCAATCTGGCACCTCACCGCCAAGCCGGCTCAGAGTTGGACCTGTGGCAGCAGGATCGCAACCATCAAAGGTTGCTCCCGCTGAACACCACGCCCGGTCAGATATGCCGGCGGCCTCCGTGTCTGTGTCCACACTTTGTGCCAGCTGGCATGCATTGAACCGGCAATCCAAGCCCGACTCCGATCTGGATTGTGATTCCAAAGGACCAGCAACAGAAGCCGCAGGCAGCTGAGCTGGAGCGGCCATTCCTGGCGATCCTTGTCCAGAATCTGATGTAGAGGACTCTTCATTCAACAATTTGACAGCAGACTCTCCCACTGCTGGTGAGAGCTCCCCATGCTGCGGCGTTTCAAGAGGGTGGCAACTCTCACGTAACCCTGGGTTAAAAGCTGTGCTTCCTTGTCCAACCCCCCTTAGCCCCCCTGAACTGTTTGCGGCAAGTCCTGATGTGTCACAAGCGCCAGGAGCCATGACCATTTGTCTTAAGTCGGCGCGTGGGGATCGTGCGGAAGTATCGGCAGCAGCAGGACTGGGTCTGCCATTTGGACTGACAGCCTGGATTGGTTGTGTGTGTTTGCACTGTTTGGTAATGAAGCTCGAGCTCGAGGTTTTCTTCTTCTTCAGATAGTCACTGACAGAATCCTTGCTGGTGGACTTGCCACCTGAAAAGTGGTGGTGCAGAGCTGCACTCCTCAGCTTGTTCACCCAAGGGCCAAACTTTTTTCTGATGGAGGCGATCTGCATCGTTATAGATGCCACTCCAGGACCTCTCTTTCCATCGGTCTCTCCTTTGGGAACCTTGCCTCCCCGCTCTTCAACTCGCTCAAAGGAGTTGGGCGGATCCGCCCCCTCGCCACCGATACACTTGAAGTTTTCCTTTGCCAACTTCTGACGGAGCTGCTGCTGCTCGACAGCGTCCCCTCGCAGGTTGCTGCCTTTTTCTACCTGCACTTGCACTGCAGTGTCCTGATGACAGGGAGCAGTACCTCCCACCACGCTGGCATCTGCTACACCTGATGATGTGATGGACCCTGCCACACTGTGGTCTTCCAAATCCTTTAGGGCCTCTGTGCTGCGGATAGATGTGTTGAGCTGTGACAGGATTTGCAGGACCGGGAACCAGAGGACCAACTGCACAACGACGACCTGGGCCAGCAGGGTTGCAGAGTCGGAGCCGTACATTGCGTGGAGAAGTGGGATGCCGATGATGAGCGTATTGGCCACGCTCGCCACCATGAAGGACACAACAAACCATTCCCACTTTCCACTCACGGTCGGGATTGCGGTCAAGTACTGCACCCAAAGCCCAAGCCCAACTAGCATGCCGAACTTGGCGACAGTATCAGCAAGTACGAAGATAAGGTTCATATCGTAAATGGCTGTCTTGGCGAGGAATTGGAAGGAAAATGCGGGGATGACGAAGACGGCATTGAGGGTGTTGAGGGATTTGGTCTGCTCCTGGGTAAATATGTTCCACGGCTTGACTGATAGATAACCCAAGAGAATTGCAAAATACAGGGGAATGACGGCATTAACAACGTTGACCAGGTTCTTGACCTCCATGACGAAAGGCAGTTTTTTTTTTTTTTTTTTTTTTTTTTTTGGTTGGTTGGTTGGTTGGTTGGGGGGATGGCGGAGGAGGATAATGAATTAGTACAAGCAATGTGAAGGAGGAGATGGGGGTGAAGGCAGTCTCGGTTGATTTGTTGAGCAGTGCTAGAGGGCTATCGCAAGGGCTATTTTAGTATTTTCCCAAAAAAAAAAAAAAAAAGGATAGCTTGGTTTTGGTTTCTAACTGAGCTCCATGGTTTTTCTCTAACAGTTGTGTATCATTTGTGCTTTAGCTTGACTCTAGGGTTTTGTTGTGGGTAGCCCTTTTTTTTTTCTGAAGTTTGTTCGAGTAATTTTCTGAATACCTCAAAAAAAAAAAAAAAAAAAAAAAAAAAAAAAAAAAAAAAAAAAAAAAAAAAAGGAAAAAAACTTTAAAAAAGACAGAGGAGAGTGAATAAGGAGCACATGAAGATACGATAGAGCACAATACCCAGCCCATGTGTGTGAATTTGTGAAATTGTGAATGTTAAACACGTGTCGCTGTCCGGGAACAGATCATGATTCATGAGATCAAATCCTGATAGAATGATGGATAGGGGCTTCTGCCTTTGTTTCTTTTTTTCAAAAGATAGAGAAGGATGGTGGAGAAGGTGGAGGAAAAGATCGGAAGTGCGAAGGCAGAGGCGAAGAAGAAGTGTGCGGAGATGGAATGGAGATGTGGAAGGAGGTTGGAGACGATTCACACGAAGAAGAAGATGGTAATGGATGTGGCATGCCTATGTTTTTTTGGCCTGAGGAAGAAGACAGTGAGAGGGACGAAGGCGAAATTGCTGATGGATGGAGAGGTGCAAAGATATGAATGAACAGAAGAAGAGGAACTGATCAGGGATAGTGGCAAGAAGAAGAAGAAGAAGAAGAAGAAGAAGAAGAAGAAGAAGAAGAAGGAAAATAAGAAAAAAAAAGATGATGAGGACTGGAGAATGACAATGGAACTCTTGTCCTGCACAAGAACCAGCTGCTGTTCAGAGGAGAGAAGAGAGAAATAAATAGCTCTCTGGGTTGCTAAGGGGGTTGCTAAAGGGGTTGCTAAAGGGGTTGCTAAAGGGGTTGCTAAAGACCCTGAAAAAGCCGCACCTTGCATCCACCTGCAGTAGGCAAGGCTATCTATTTTCTCCTCTGGTAAGGTGCAATTCAGTGAAGGGACTGGCAGGACGAAAAAATTCCCTTTTAACAGATCCCAGCCTGGGACCCACTACACCCCCTGGGCCCCTGGACCTCTGGAACTGGAAGCCTGTACATTGGAACTGGATCACCGGTAATCGACCCCTGCAACTGGATCTCTGGACTGGACCCCTGGAACTGGACCCCTGGAACGGGACCCCTGGAACTGGATCACCGGTAATCGACCCCTGCAACTGGATCTCTGGACCTGCAACCCTGTAGATGGACCCCTGGAACGGGACCCCTGGAACTGGAACCCTGGAACTGGAACCCTGGAGTGGGAACCCTGTAACTGGATCTCTGGAACTGGAACCCTGCGTCAATGGGACAAACATAACATAACACAGCACAACGGAACATTGGAGCTATAGTCGTCACTTCACTGCGAGCGTGGCAGCTCTGACACGTCGATAATGGGGGGTTGCCGCCCTACCCCCGTAGGTGGGCCCTATATATGCCTGACCTGCCTGTCCTCTGTGAGGAAGACAGTCAGCACCGAACACTTGCCTATGATCATGTATCTCTGTCAATTATGGTTCCGCCAAATCAACATGAATAACAGAAGCTTTCCAACCCAGATTCCAACCCATATTCCAACCAGGAAGGGGTATGGGTGCTATTAATCCTTAAACACTAATCCACATAAATTGGTAGTGGGATCTTGCCCCTGGTGGTTAGCAATGTTTTTGTTACCCCCAGCCGGGCCCCCCCCCCACCACCCCCCCACCAAAAAAAACAAAAAAACAAAAAAAAAAAACGTTTTTGCCCATGTGCAACCAAAATGCCACCTGTTATGGGAGCCGCTGCTTGAAACAGTACCCATCATGGCATCTGAGGTGACTGTTTATCTGAAAAATGGTCTACAGAGTAGGACTTGGAACATCGCCCTAAACCACTAGTACTTCCGAGGCACTTTTCTCTGCGGCAGGGAATGCCCTGTGCGCCAAAAAAAAAAAAAAAAACGCTCAGGCCGAGTGAATCGTCTTGTCTTAATGAAAAGTGTTGTGGGGAAGGGAGGCGATTGATGACCATTGATTATTTTTGACCATTGATTATTAATATTCGTTGAGACAATTTCTGTGTGAGATACTTATCCATCATGATGCACAAAATGGTTACCTCATAAGCGGTCGCCTACCGTCTTCACCCGAATAGAACGCCCAGTCATTATAGCTGTATTTGGCACAACTTTCAGTCCAGATACGGCGATAATTACGGGGCGTTCTATTCGGGTGAAGATGGTAGTTGTGTATTTTCTTTGATAGCTTGTTTTTTACAAGATTGACCTCAATCTCAGGAGGGTTTGGCGGATTGTTGGGTTTCTGGCATTTCTGCACAGTTGGACTTGATCTTCGGACGGCCCGAGCCGCCCGACTATTGTATATTTATTTTGATCGATTGTTTTCTGATAGGTTGGACTTGATCTTAGAAGGGGTTGCCCAATCGAATGATTGCTTGTTTTAGGTCACTTGTTTTCTAATCGACTGAGCTTGATTTTTTTTTTATTTTTTTTTCGCGCATCATGCAGGTGTCTTAGGGGTGGACCCCACAGGAAAAAGGATGGGAAAACCGTCCGGCCAAAAAAAAACGGGCAAAGAATTTTGGAACGCCGGAAAACAGTTTTGCGGGGACCCCACGGTGGAGGACCAAATGCGCCGTGGAAACCCTTTGGAAATCAGTTGAGCCAATTGTTGCCTTTCTCCGTCGGCACTCATTTGTTTTGCTCTTTTTTTTTTTTTTTTTTAATAACAGAACCTCTTGGTTCTGGCTCCTACCATTCTGGGGAGCGACAGTCCGGTTCCTATTCCCCCGGCAAGTCAATATGGAATACATGGGAGACTCACGCACGCTCCTCCTCATTATGCTGGGAGGCCCGAGTGGACGACATTGATTACTTCCCTGAAGAAGGATGTGCCACCCCTCACCCCTGCCTAAGTTAGCCTGTGCTACTTAATCTGCCTGGCTGTTGCCAATCTGTCTGACCCCAGTCCCGCTCCTCTCAGCTGTGATGCTGTCGGGTTGGTGTGTTACGCTAGAGCGGTCAGGGTCTCTTGAAATCTCTAACACCCTAAGCCCCGTTTGCCTTGTTTCTGTCGAAACCTTAAACCCTAAACCCTCATCTGTAATGCTGTGGTGCTTTACCCTTTCTTAGTTCCTAAAGCTGAAATATGTGCTGCTCTTTATATGACTCTGGACTCTAGACCCCTTCCTTTCTCCGTTTGGGCTGTGTGCCCTTCCTTTTGTTTTTTCTTTTTTTCAACAGACCCATAGGTTTCTGAAAGATTCCTAGTAGGTTCCGCGCTTTCTTAACTGGTTCTTATGGACGTACCAGTAAGGTGGGATCTACTTCTGGGAAGTTTGGAGATTTGTGCTGGGGGTAACGTGTCGTGTCTCCGTTGCGTAAAGTGGATTCGGCCGTGAGATATTGAAGCTATTTTCCCTTCTCCTAGGACCTGTTTCGTAAAGGCTTCTGTAATTTTATCCTTGTTTTCTATGTTTTTTTTTCTGATATTTTCCTGGTGGTCTTTTTCCAGCGGCCTCTGTAGTCTACTTCTACTATCTGTAGTATCCCCTCCCACCCTTCTTGTGGCGTCATTGGTGTTTGATCGATTGTTTCTTGGCATCTGCGCTTCCAAATCGTCCATCTAGCAGCTCTTCTGAGTATGTGATTGAATATTGTCTCATAGATCTGCCCGTCAGGGGGAGTATGTAGACCTAGCAGAAGTACGACTGGGTCAGAGGGTAGGGGCTTGCCTGATATCCTTTGCCATAAGTCAGTTACCTTGGACCAGAGCTGTTTAGCTTTCTGACAACTCAGGAGGCAGTGTTCCACATCTTCTACCCTGCCTTGCTAACAGATTGCGCAGAGTTCCTTTAGGGGTGAGCGTGAGTGGAAGTTGCGTCTCTTATTTAGCCATTTATTTACTGGCAGTGCCAGGTGCGCCAATAGCCATTGGAAGCTTCTTATTTTGGTGGATGTGCTGGCATTAATCTGACTGTCCTCAATGATCTGTATAATTCGATATGGGACGCTGGGCCTGGTTCCCAGCACGTGTTGCTCCCCACGAATAGACTGGAGCATTTGTTTAAAAAAAAAAAATAAAAAAAAATAAAAAAATCTGACTCCAAGATCATACTGTACTTGTACGTTCTGCTGGTTGGTTGAATTGTGCTTCCCATCTTTGGCTAATTATTTGAGCTATGGGGCGGGATCTCATTCTTAGTGTGTGTAACCTAACTTCGTGGTGTATTCTAGTGTGTTAGTTCTTTTCTCGATTCTAAGTCTCCCTGTTCTTAGTTTCCATGCCCACTCTGTTGGATCTAGTTCTAGGTCTGCTATATTGGTTTGGGGGCTGTAGATCCGGAGTTCTCCGGTCTCCACTACTCTTAGTTTCCACAGTGTGTGTTCTAGTAGGGTTACTTCTCCTGTAGGATTGTTAGCAAGAGGCTTGTAGTTGCTCCTGGCTTCTCCACCGTATAAATGTCGCAGGTTAGCCAGTTGTGTCTAGGGCCTTCTCTAGTGCAGAAGAGGTAGGCCAAGGTGGGGGGGTTATCTGTCTTTCTTGTTGCCCATTCCCCTGGTTTCCAGACGATTGGACCTTTTAGTAACTCTGATCATTTTTATGGAACTGAACTTGTGATCCGGCTCAAGTTTTCTTGCAAATTTTGACAGCCCTTGATTTTTTTTTTTCAGACTGTAAACGGTTTATCCAGCATATGGGTACGCCAGCCGGGTTAGATCACCCGAGGAATAAAGTACACTTAAAAAGTTGCAGTCTTTGGGTTTAACAAAGACATATGTGACAGGAGGAGGGTCGTGGAAAACTGCGCTAGCGCTTCGCGACCCGCGGTCAGCAAGGACTGCCCGCCAGGTATCGCGCTCGTGCCACGAGGACATCCGGTCCTCTGGGCCTTGAG